CTTCTCTTCTCTTTTAGAAAGGTAAAGGACCACCAGAGAGGCAAGTGCTTTCATGAATGCGGTAAACCAATCAATCTTTTCGTTACATATCGGGGACAGGAACCAGCCCAGCGAACTCGATTTCCCGAAGAAAAGAGAGGGCCCTCTTCTAATATTTAGCTCCTAGCTGCTCTACCTCTCTATTTTCAAAAGCCCTGCTCACTTATAGCCCTATAACCAAGCAGGCAGGTGAGACATCAGAGCAGCTGTAGAATAGAGATTGCAATTCCATTTATTTACATGAAAGGGGTGGCATGTGAAACTAGCAATCCCATATTGTGGAATAAGAGCAGTGGCATTTACGGAAATAGGTTTTGAGAAAGGGACTGATTGAACTAAGGAACTGAACTAATGGACGAGGAGGAATAATAAGTAAATCTTGGTCGGAATCGAAAGCGGGGAAACTGACCACATGATCGGCAATGGGCATAAACCCTAAAACAAGATTCACTCGTTCTTCAGTCCTCACGTAGACATGAAGGGGAGGCCCCACAGATAGGATTCAGATTTCTAAACGGGAAAGCGTTTTTTTGGCCTATATGTTGGCTCTGAATCAAAGATTTACTCACTGCCAACAAAAATTAAGATCAAACAATTCCATCGAATTGAGTATGATTGTATGTGTGATAGCATCTACTATACCAGGAATATCTAGGCGAAAAGTCTAATTACTGCTTTTCTGTTGATTCACTTTATAGGGTAGGGTCACCGTGCCTATGTGGGTTATAGAAAAGAAAATACATAAAGCCTAACAAGCGAGCCATGCTTCATTGAAATTTGCCAGAACTGTCATCACATATGGTTGATTAAGAAAAAAACTGGAAACAAGAGACCTGTTTTGTTTTCCAGTTTCTGATTCCAGAATGTCTGCATCTATTGTTCTTGTTATAGATGAATGTTCAAATGAAATACACCTCCTGAATTACATCCCTCCTTGCATGCATTTGTTGATTCACTTCCCTCGACAATGAGAATTAAGAGTATATTGTATGGCCGCACAATATTTTATGATTTTTCGGAGGAATTTATAGCATCCATCTGCTAATGTGTAATGTGCTGCCTGGTGACAAATCACCAACTCAGGAGTCCTTGAAAGCCTTTATCTATGGAACTAACATATACTTGTGCCCAATGCATGCATCATTAGAAGTGGCACACAAAATATTCTCATCACTGAGGCCATACAAATTGAACATTCCAGAAGCTTCTAGAGACCGGCGCCTGGGTACGACAATTAAGGTTGCTCCTGCTATAATTCAAGGGCCCGTCAGCAGAAATGTCTCGAGGAGTAGTTAAACGGGCAGGAGATAATAACAAAATAATTGTGTGCACTAGTGGACCTTATACTTATGTACCCGGGCTAGCGCCCTCTCTCTCTAGCAGAATGCTATCTGTTCTTATTCATATATTACCTTCCATTATTTAAAAAAACACACAAAAATAAAAAATATTAAGATATTCTTAATGATATTCGGGCTTCTACCCAGCAGAGACTTCCATAACTGACCGACCGGTGAAAGGATAGCTGGACCCGTTGAAAGCTGGCAGTTATTGATGGCTCGGAAAGAAAGCTGGGCTAGGTCTTCTTCCCTTAGAGAGGCTTCTTCTCCTTTCCCTAGTTCTCAAATATTTTCTTTATTCTCTGTTTATTATATTATTAGTTCTATTGTTCCGATCCGCTTGTGTTTCAGGAAATCAAACCGAAGTCAATTCATTCAACAATGCCCCCTAGGGACATTCTGTATTGGATTTTGCCAACACCGTTTCACCTTCCTTGCTTTCTGTTCTGTCTTGCATTTTACCATGGCACACTCTTCCTTTCAAACTGGTAAAAAGAAAGCCCTTAGACATCATTACATTACTTATGCGCCAGTTTTCATCTCCTTCCACCTATACCTAATCCATTCATATGGGAAATGCCATCCTATTACTGTCCTATCCCGTGCTTTTCAACCTTTTCGTATCTCTCTTTGTACTCTTTCCTTTCTGTCTTTTCAATTATTTTCTTTCTTTAGTTTCTTTCTTAAGTAGCTTATTAGCTTGAAAGCTTTCCTTGCCTTTAAGGCTTTACCGGAATATGCTGAAAAGTGACCGGTCATTGAGGAAGACTTAGCTTAGGGCTGAGAAGTAAGGAGACTCCAACATTCATTTCCATTTTCTTTTGTTTTTAAGCCTATTGGCCAATATTGGCATTAAGACTTAATGAATTTATTCACATATACCTACTTTCTTTATTCATTCACTAATACCTACGGTTGAAACAGAACCGGACTTTGTTGGTTCTGTGCCGATAGTGTTCTCTCGTCTTTCAAATGGTGAATCACCGAAGCCAAATCCATCTTGCGCAGACGGGAGACGATGATCGAAGTCAGACTTGAGTATGGGACGAGAACTCGCTCATTTTGATCCCCTTGTTGACCAAGCAAGGTCGCACTGAGACTGAGAACACCAACGGAACACTCTCTTACCCTCACTGACCAGCTAGTGTGCAATGACGACCGGCCTGCAAGCTACTCGATTTTTTTCTTAGCTGCTCTGGATTCTATTCTAGATACTACTTACTTACATATGATGTTTTATTTCACAGGGTAGCCCATCTATATAGCATAGCTGAAAGCGGATAAAAAATGTTTTTCCCATAGCGTTACATAGGCTTAGACCCTCTCTCTAACTAAGGATTCAATCTAGGGACACTTGGGACTGGATTGAATCTTCTGCTTTTTTATATCAGCGAGCTAGACCCCTAAAATGCTCGGTACTTTAAGGTGGGGAAACCAATCCTTCTTGCTCGTTCCTAGGTCTTTTTTTTATTGCCTTATTTCATTCACTGATTTCTTTAATTCATTTCTCTTTTATGAATAGTTGGTTGTGTTGGATGATTGATGGGTAGTTTGAAGGACGAATGCTGGAGGGCAGCTTTTTAGAGCGGGCGCACTGTGCGGTATTTTTGATGTTTATGTCTGTATTTGTTCTATAGTTGGATCAGTTGTTTTCCTTAGTATGTCGAGGGTGGATTAATGAATGACTACTTTAGCTCTATCGATAGAGGCCCCCGCCTAAAGTTCTGACTCTTGCTTCAATCTCTCCTTTGGGAGAATGGCCCCACCTGATGTATCGACGTCGCATCTCGACCTGTTCGTGCTGCGGAATGAACACCTACTTTGAGGAGAAAGAAATCCTTTCCTAAAGTGAAAGTGAATTCAAGCTGGTACATCATAAATAAAAAAAGAGGCTTCAGTTTCTTGCTTATCTATAGAATATCGCATTGTTACTGGGCTTTCAAAAAAAGAATTTTATTGTTAGGAAATAAGGGAGACTGTGACTCTCCCCCTTTATGTGTTCTATATTAAAGTCAAAGAGGGGATTTCCATCTAGCGAAAATATGTTTTGCAGTGAGGGACATCTTTCTTAAGGGTTTCTTTCAACGCCTTACAATTTGTTCTCATCAGGAACCTCTGGTGTTGGATGTAGATTTTTAACTTTAGGATGGACTTCACCGGTTTTATTTTAAAGGTAAAGAGGAAGCCCCGGACGTCAACTTCTTTGATGACTACCAAAAGGAGGAAGATATTTCCCAATAGCAGTCCTCCTTTTGTCAAAATTATAGACCAGGTATTTATTCCTCTCCTTCAGGTTCTACTGCACCCTTCGGTCAAGTAAACCAAGCTCACAGAAAAAAGGAAATCTTTTACACCGATGTATCGTACTCTCTCGACCAGGTCATCATAAGNTTCTTTTACACCGATGTATCGTACTCTCTCAACCAGGTCATCATAAGAAAATACTGAAAAATCTTTCCAAAGTGAGGGAAGGAGGGAAGGCACGCTACAACTAACATAATAGCCAGCTGAAAAACGTTAGCTAGCTAGGCTAGCGCACAATGGCTTTCTCTGATAGGGGCTTGCTTCTTTAAGCTCCGCCCAACCTATACAAGGTGCTGCTCGCTTTCTCTCAGCCACTAGTGGCTTATGTAGTGGTCGGCATTCCTACGTGCTCCTCCTTGCCCCCCTACTTNACTTTCTCTCAGCCACTAGTGGCTTATATAGTGGTCGGCATTCCTACGTGCTCCTTCTTTCCCCCCTACTTAAGAATCCAAAGGTCACCTTTGGATGTTGTCATGACTCTTTGGTTACGAAGGTTACCGCGGTCTAAGTTTATGGATGGATTTAGTCAGCTAAACTCCATCAAACTCCTCAATCAATATCAACAAGATGTCGTGACCACTTAGGCTTGGTTTATTTTGTCATAAAAGAAAGTTGGTTTTGTGGGTTCATTGATTAGTACACCTCCGGTGCTGGTAAGGCCGGGACCGTGGTCGTCCGTCTCCAGTTTGCCGGCCGATAAGATCTCTGAGATTGACCAGCCAGCTGGATTGGTTTGGCAATTCTTTTCTATTGAAAAAGAGTCAGCTGTCTGTGCGAGTCACCTTCTTCTAGGCTTCGCTGGACGACACGGCATTTTTGTTCAAATATATATAGGCCGGCCGTACTTGTGATGGTTCACAAGGATCCAATATGACCACTTAGGTCTACGTTGCCACGATATTGTTCTATGGAAACGGGCGGTTTAGAAGTTTGGCCCTATTTTTTTGGTGTCGTAGGGGAGGGATTGACCTTTCTAACGCATTTTCAGTCGTACCGGCATAGCCCCACTGATTTGTTTTCGATCAGAGCATCAAGCAGCGCAACCCAGTTCTACTTGACTAAGCCCGTACTCCTCCAAAGTGAGAGTTTGCTTTACCCAACTCCCTTTTTGATAACAAGGCAGAAATCCCCGACCCGACACTTGTTAGTTTCGAATGAAGAATGAAAAGTGCCCTGCCCTAGCAAGCACCTACTCCTATCAAAAAGCGAGACTTTACTAAACAAGAAAGAAAGGCTTTTTCTATCTTATTAGTCAAGCGCTAACGAGCAAGAAAACGGATATGCTAAGAAGCAACTTCGTGCAGCTGTTGTGCCCTTGCTTCTTGCCTTATCTTACTTAGTAAAGCAACCTTTCGCGCTAGGCGCTCACCTTTTTTGGCTTCCCTAAAATAGAATATTTGGAAGTTGGTAAAGACCCGCCCCTTGTTTCAGTCAGAATGAGTCCCCGAGACCCTGGGACATTGGCTTCCGCCAACAGTGAACTATTAAGGATCACAGCCCGCGCATATTCTACATAATAGCCTGCAACTGATTCAGCTTCCGCTTCTGGGAGATAAAACAGAGCTCGATTAGTTTCTTCTAGACGAGATATAAAGAACATAACCAATACAAGGAACAAGGGAATACCAGACCATATCTGCTTTTGCGCCATGACAATCTCACTCGAATTACGGGAACCTACACATATTAGTACAGTATACCGGGGTCCCCGGCTAGAACCACACGTGCAAGTTTCCCTACATGTGGCTCGTCCATGATTTCCGAGGCACTGCATGTGACTCAGCATGGGAGAAGGGGGCAGAACTGCACACTTTCGTGTTCAGAGCATTGTTTTGAGGGAGAGAAAGCGTGGTTGACAAACCCATCATCGGAGGCGACTGGAGTGCTTTCATCAAATGATGCATGTGGGCTGAGCCATTCCCATCCCAAGTGGTGCCCGATTCGGCCTGGCCGGTCGGGAAGATATTCACATAGAGACTACAGCTATTCGGGAATCTCTTTCTATGTTAGCTAGCGGGGGCGGGCTTTCCTATGGTAGCCCCGCTCCGGCCTCTAAACGGCCGTCCCATCTCATCTTGATTTGGCTATACTTGTATGTAGCTAGCCATGTTAGCTCCACATGAGAGCCTTTTAAATAAAGGCTAAAAAGGCACTCATCAGTCAGCTCGGCCCCTTTCCTATTTCGCTTTGCCGCCTATTAAGAGAATAGGTCCCGAAAAAGCGGCCCGCCTTTCATCATCTATACCAGCTGCCACGCAAAAACCAATAGAAAGGATTTCGATGCCCCTCTCATCATAAGAAGCAGAACGTGCCATCACCTACAGCCCTTTCCTCTGCCGGGGACTTCCACGAAATGAAAACGGGCGGCATCGTCGTATGCTCCACTTTTGTTGCCCTGGTTTATATCCTGGAGTACTCCTATGGCCGATCTGTCACCCAACCTACTTAAACAACCTAAAGTCTTGGCCCCGTCCCATTTGGAGAATGACCCCTTATGGCACGGCTTAGTCAGTTATTCTCGCATTTCAGATAAGATTCGGACCGGGTTGGGTTAGGTCTCTAAAAGCATGGTTCTTGCCTCCCTCCCCCCTTTGAGCTCGTCCATTCATTGGGTGATCCCTTGCACTCACGTTCGAGTGTTTGCTCATCGTTTAGGCCTGTGAGTGAGATTTCTGCTCATTGCAGTCACCTCCGGGGTTCTTCGCACCTGGATAGTACTAGGACCCTTGTGCCCCGACCCTTGATCAGATAAAGCTGCCCGCCTTATGACCCACAACTCAAAATGAGCCTTGCGATGAGACACAAACATTCCCCATGCTGCGGTTCCCTCTGGTCCATTCCCGAGTTGAGTTAGGGGAACATCCGAGCGATTGCCTTCGCGGATCCAAACGCGCTCACAAGGCGCACAATAAGAATAAGACCAATAGAGACTTCATAAGGGACCATTTGAGCTGCAAATCGTAGTGCTCCTAGAGAGGCATATTTCAAATATAGAGGAGTGAAAGTTCCCAACAAATAAGTACTTTTTCATATCCTTCTATGAACCGTACGAGCACGTCCTTTGTCACCCCTCACCGCGCTTACGGATCTATACCCCATCCCAACTTGCTTTGGCCTTGGGTCCTTCCTTTCTATTCCTCGGTAAGCGGACCGTAGGAGCATGAGGGGCAATATTTGCTTTTGACTGATAGAAAGCATCTCTCTTTTGTCCTTCCTAACCGAACTCGCCAAAAAAATCACAATAGAAAAAGTTGTTCTTGCCGGGAGAGTAGCATTAGAGACATATTTATCTGAGGAGGAGGCTTCGTCGTCCGGCTCCTCATAAATGATATTAGGATCGGCCGGCTCATCCTCGGAATCCGAAAAGAAAACAGAGACAGAACAGAAAATGTTCTTTGATGGAGCTGTAAATGCAAAAGGTGTCGGAATTAGGGCAATCTTGATCTCACTCACTGGTCAGCACTACCCAGCCACAACCCAGCTCCAGTTTTCCTACACAAACAACACTATCGAGTATGTGGGCATGAATATGGCAATCAACACACATCCATATTGGCCTACCAATGAACCCGTTATCAAGGAATTCCTAAAACTGCTCCTTTAACTCCTTTAACTCTTTCGGTGCCATACGATACAGTGAAAACGAAATGGGCTGAGTGCCCGACACCAAATCAATATCGAAATCAACAACCCTGTCCGGCGACATACCCGACAACAGGAAACACATCTGAAAAATCCCTCACCACCGGAACTAAATCAATAGTAGGAGTCTCTACACTAACATCCATCACAAAGGCTCAAATAAGAAAGGAAACCCTTCTCAGCCATCCGCTGGGTCTTCAAAAATGAAATCACCCTATTGGAAACACAATCCCTCAAACCTTGCTACTTAATCCGTGGCATCCCCAGCATAGCCAATGTCGTTGTCTTAGCGCGGCAGCTCAAAATAACACGACACAGAGACGATCAGTCCATACCCAATATCACACCAAAATCTAGCATACTAAGCAACAAGGATCCACTCGGGTCTCCAAACCTTTAATAGTTACCACGCAAGACTGATATACGCGGTCCATAACCACAACCTAACCTGTTTATGAGAACTCCCAATCACCAAATCCATACAGCACGCGAATCACCATATCTGATCCCAACTCCACCGTCTGAATGCATACCACACCCCTAATACCCAATCATTCCACGAGAGGTACTCCTAAAATTCTTCTGTGCCACCAAGCAAACTCGAATATCAGCAGTCGATCCAACAATAGAGTGCTGCAATACTAATGAAGTATCCTCAACTCAAACACATCGACCTTTCTAAAATGTATATCTTTATCAAGTCATACCAATCAGTGATATTATTTACCTAGTCATCTGAAACTGCCTGTACTGTCTAAGAATTTATGACCTTCCTTTCAAAATCGAACCGTGACCTTACACATGTGAATCTCAATCTTACATAACATACCACATCTACCATACCATCCTAGGATAAACATGAGAACTTCATATCCATTCCGAGCCAGAAGCAACTACGTACTCAACTAGCCAAGAACTTTTCTTTGATCCGATCTAGAAGAAAATCACTACACATCACATGCTCCTCACGCTCGTAGAAAATATACATCTCTAACCGTGGTAGAAACCATCAAGAACTCTCCAAATTTTATTTGCACAAAACAAAACCGTCAGGACTGAATCCTTCTAACTCAACCAAGCTATGCAGGCCACTAAAACCCAAGAGCATTACCGCAAAACACCTTCAGAAACTCATTACCTCGTACGCATCCAAAGAACTAATCATATCCTTACCATACCGATCCGATCTACTACCAAGTTATCCCATCTATCCAAGTTCCTTTTATTTTACCTTCAACTTGATACTTCTTCTCGCTGTAAAACCACAATTTCTCAACCAAGACTCACCAAACAAGACTCAAGCATAAAACCACATCGTCTAAGGCTCATAAGCCGTTGAATACTCTCTTAAATATTTCCAAAAGCACCACATTCAAAATACCTACCCTGAAGTGACTCCTTGCGAATCCAAAGCCATTACCTTCACCTTCCTAGTATTGATATATAGCATCCCATAATGATATAGAAATACCACGAGTCTTGACACCCTCCAATGCAAACCTCAGTTTCTAGCCAAATATATAACTTGAAAATCTCCAATTATTACATGTAAAATCTTGCACCTATTAGAACCATTCTTGAGAGTTATCCACTCTGCTCAAATCTTAATTAGACTGATCAAACGAGACGATCGACCTGAGCCTCATTAGCACTCCAACACCCAAGGATGTAACCCCACCTTAATGAAACCAGATAAATTTCTGCTCCACGCACATCACATATTTCACCAATAACAACTCAAATCATTCTATGATTCTCATATACTCATAAAACCTAATACAACTCGTATACAAAAATTCTCTTTACTCGAGTCATCCTTGATCTCAACCTCTGCAAGTCATAACTGATTCACCAGTACACCTCAAACTAAAACTAATATGACACTTAGCCGTGCAATCAACTTATCAATAGCAGACTCCCCCACTTGGCTCAGAGCCATAGATCAAAACATACAAAAACTCACAAATGCCATACTGCCATAATACCATAGTGAGATTGAACTAAATCCTTTATAACCTCGTGCAACACAAACCATCTAGTACTTCAAATCATCTGCACATCTCGCATTCACATAGTCAAGACAACTCTCATTCGCGATCCAAACTCAATCTGCAATACATATAATTCACTGGTAAAAGAGGACTTACTACAAAATAGCATAGGGATCACACGCCCTCAGGACACCTCGCAGGAGATAACCCACCTGCTTCGTCTCAAACTAACATCTCTTTATACCCTTCCACCATCATAAACATCACGCAATCACTTAATCTTCCTGAGTCTGAACTCATATCACGACATGAAATTTACTTCATTCCCCCAGCTAAACAACATGAAAAAATCCTTTAACACACATATAACTTGGGGCTATACATCAAATCAAGATGGAAATCAAGCACCAAATAGTTCTTACTGCCCCCAAGCAGACCCTTCTCATCTCATTCAAATCATATGAACACATCTCGCAGTCATATCACACTTATTAAGTAACTATCCAGTCATCACATTCCTTAATAGGGATACTATCAAACATATAAATCTAGAAACACGCGCTCGCGCAATCAACATCTCAGGGTTCAAGCTACAGGTAAGGCCCGGACTCAAGTCCTCCAGACTGTCCCAACATCCACACGCAGAGCTCACATCTCGCCCCTTGATCAGGGAATCACAAGCCGTTGACGCACAACCAATACCGAGCGCTCATGCGCACATACGAACGCGTGGAAAGGGATTCAAAGAGTTACATTTCAAGTTGAATCAAGGACGCACGATAAGAATTCAAGAATGTGAAGTTTTTCCTAAAGGTTCTGTAACCTCTCGAGGATAAGTACAGATGTCTTCGTACCGATCCATGAGACTCTACTAAACCTACTCATGACTCGTGAAACCTATGTAACCTAGGCTATGATACCAACTTGTCATGACCCTAAAATTGACCGGGTAATGGTGGCGCCTATCGTGAAACTAGGCCAGCTGACACAACTCCTAAATTAACCATTAATCAATAAAAATCATTTTTAAGCCTTTAATTAATCAAATATCTCATAATGTAAGTCTAAATGAACAGTGCAGAATAATTACATAAGCCCGACATCGGGGTGTCACTAGTCATGAGCATCTACTACAACCGTTTGACAACATCAA